AGAATGCACATCGCGCCAGACCACGGTTACCGATGATAGAAGCCCAGAGGATGCAAGTTTTCGAATTAACCGAAGTGTGCGTGATATACGGGATCTATCTGATTCAACCAAAAGTAATAACTGGGCAGCCCTTTCCAAATGCGGCAACGTGAATGGCTAAATAGCTTGTCAGTGAGAATAAGTCATTAGAAATATATGTGGATAACCGTATTCTTTCCAAAATCACCAGTCTAAAGTTCAAAACTCAAGTTTTACCACTTATTCTCATTACTAAATCATCGCTAGTTATAGTGATATATTCACAGAGGTCATTAGGTTTGTAATGTACTAAAAAAATTTTACACAGCTGAACTCAGAAAATATAAAATTTACACTTTTCTGGAGCCAAAATGTTCCTAACAATATAACCATACCAACGCTGAGATATTTGCAAAACTCCGGATCGATGTTGTCTGCGGTGTGGACAGAACACGCTATTACCCTTTCCGGGAGTTAACACGCTCACTAGCACATCATGTGCGGCCTCTCTTTCGCCTTCTTCTCAGCTAGTTCTATCCATCAGTGCCACCGGAAACCACCCGTTAACGAAATAACATGGCTCAGAGAAAGACGAAACGAAGGACTCGAATAGTGCGGTGGTGGACGGGTTACCCTCGGAAAGGGTAATAGCGTGTTTGCTCCTCACCGCAGACACCATCAATCCGGAGTTCTGCAAACATTTCAGCATCACCATGGTTATATTTCACACAATACCCTGTTATTAAAAAAATAATGGGCAGTAAATAAAATTTGACGACGTTCTTAACAACGTTCTCAGTACAAGTCTTTTAATGACGGTAACGAACGAAAGAAAGGAAAGAAACGAGTCAATGAAAATTGAGTTAATAAGAAAAGAAAACATAAAGGCATGGTAGCCAATATATTGCATCAAGTACCTTTTCTGATAGCCCCATCCATCGCTTTACAATGCGCGTTTTTGTTGGCAATAAACGCGATTCCAGCACACGTAGTGTCATATTTACAATTCCAGGTAACGAGGAGAAACGAGTGAAAACATCTCCGATCTGCGTACGCATAGACTCCACTTTTGATGGGGTCAATGAGTTCAGAATATCCAGAACACGAGATAAATTCGATGGGAACAATGCGATCCTAAATTAATTCGACACAAAGTGTGATCATTAAAGTCTTCATCTCAAACGTTTAATTTCCCAATTAAAAAGACTGTGGTAAAGGTTAAAACGCTTCGAAACCTGGTCGTTCATTAACTATTTTAGCCTGCACTCTGTAAGAGACACATTCGAGACGACGACTGGTCTCGGTGTGGCGCCACCGGACGCCTAATTTATCGCAGCGTGAGACTGGTTACGAACAATGGCTGTGGTCTGACAAGCTCCCCCAAGCTAATTTGTTGAGTTTGTTCCTGATGGTTATCCATTTGTACAAAGAGCAATAACAAATGGAACATACTGAAGTAATTGCCTCTTACTTCAAAAAAGTATGTTTCATATGATAGGGAACTTTTAATCCAAGCGTCATTCATTAGCATCCACAACCCCTCGCCTTTTTTTCATTCTACAATGGTGAAATTCTGTAGTAAAACTTTAACAGTGAAAAAGATGTATTTCTCCAGCTTTTTCACCGACATTCTTAATTCGAATACGGAAATGGTTGAAAAGCTGAGACACCGAATGATAGGAAAAAGTCAACGTTGTTCCACAATGTAACAGTGGTTTTCGCCACTATTCTGCGTCAAGAATTTCGCATATGTAAATTCGTCTTTCAACCTTTCTGCCACTTGAAATCGAGAGAACATTTTAAAAAAAACATCTGCACTCTTACAGTGGTATCCTAAAGCCTGATCCAAAAGTTTGTGTAGTTCTTAGCTTCCTAAATATTCTAACTATCGAAAAAAAGCATTAGCATTTATCATCAAGTTAATGTCAAGGTTATGGTTTAATTTTCGCGGTGATATGTAGACAAATAACTGCTGTCAATAGCTTTTTCTATAAACTATGACATATCGGTGCAGTAAACAAGTTTTGGCACCCTGAATAAACTCGACTGAAGTTTCTTGCAAATTGTTGAAAACATGGTTTTCGCATAGAAAAAACCGTCCAAAGGAAATTATTAAAGAAATATATCACCGCGACTATATGAAACTATGGGAAACTATTGGTACTAGCGCTTGAACGCGGAAAGCAATTCGTTATTGCATCTTGCATGCAAGTAGAAAGTTTGATAAAAGCACTTTGAAAATATGAGAAAGGAAAACATACAAGTGCCAATCGACATAATCTGCGAACGGAAGCACATGATTTGGAGCGAAAACAACTGGTATAACTGATGCTTCCAAAGCTCTATACAAAGCTGCTTCGAAGTGTAGCATACTCTCATGTATTAGACCAAATCTAGCCTTCTGTAAATACATTTGCTAGAAAATGAACTGCTCTTATATAACCGGAACCGTTTTTCATTTGTTCAAGTACGGCCAAACCTGAAAAGTATCTTCCCAGCTCACTCTATTCCCATTTGAATTACACACCACGGATCTCTGGTCAAAACACTCCATTAATACAGTGACGTCCTAAAATAAACTGTACCATCAAAAATTTACTCCAGAAGATTGAAAACAAAAGCAACTGAGTTTCTAATACTAATTTTCCTATTCCCTCCCAACAGTTTACCGCCTCATCGTGGTCAGGAGCTGTTCTGGGTGTCGGGCTGCGATCTACAGCGAAGGATTCGTTCCCTGGCAGGGTTTCCCAAGCTAAGGAGTCTGGGGTATCCACCAGGAAGCCCAGCTACGAGTAAACTAGTAGCAGGATCCACCACCATCCTGGTATAAAATTAGTCGCATGATGGCAAATCTCTCTCTGATCCACATGTCCAGGCTGATCTCGAGATTCCAGGGTACCACAATGGCTAAACCAGCAAAACTCCGAAATAATGGAGAACATGCTGGGTCCGCACAACCAGTTAGGACGGGCCGTCCAAGTATCCAAATAGTTTTCCTATTCTGTAATCTCTGTAGATCCACGGAGAGATATCCGTTGATGTCACAATTTAACTTTAAAGCCGCCGAGATTTCTTAACGTGTCCATCACACAATTTGACCAGGATATGTTCAAAGCAAAATAACTTTAGTGATAAATTACCTTGAAACCATATAAAAGAACGGAGTGCCTAAGTTACCTCTTTATCCGAAAACAATCTGATGCATTCCTCCCGGAAGGATAATGAGACGTTGAATAGTGGCACTACGAACTTGGGCTTAATCAGAGAACCCTGGGCTGATGCAGAACTAGGAGTATCAAAGAACGGTGGCAATGATATATCCAAGCGAGGACGATAAATCCTACGTGGAGTTACTGAACTGTAATTCTAACTTCAATGATGCAACATTACACGATACTATCACAGGCAGAAACGAAAGCTAAACGTAAAACCCAAGGTACCTTGCCAGAATATAACGAAATCGGTGTTTCCACTGACCAACCAATGTAAATATGAACACGTTATAAAACCTATAACACTTACATTAATAAAAAAAAGTTTTCAGTAAAGGTACCAAAAGTTTCGCTAATATCCTATTCTTTACGACAAAGGAAGCAATACGGATGTTTATTGTTGGGAAAACTCTATAGGGAGCCACTTTTACCTTTCACCTATCATATTAGCAATCGCATGTGCTGCTTCAATACTAGGAAATCGATGTAAATTGAGGAAATCAACGCCCGGAAAGAATATACAAGCTTCGTTGGGATCTGGCACGGAGTATCCTTCCAGCAATGATCGAATTGAATAGAATTCCCGTGACGGGATAGGAGTGAGTACTGTTCCGTCCTGAACACAAAACATGACCAGAAGAAATCAACTACTGCACACTTTTAACGTGCACATAATCAACCATTTCTTGTAAAAACACACAAGACCAGAATTAATAAGGTCCCGACTACTTGTTTTTATATTTTGCATAAAAGGAGTGGTAAAAAAAAATAAAGCTCTCGGCGCTGATCAATCCCTGAGGCATACGAATTCATTTAGCATCGTTGGAGCCAACTGAATGCATGTTTGGACTTCACAATAACTCGCACTGGCCTAGCGAGGTATCCAGACAGTGCTACTATCCTCCAAGACTAGTCTAATACCAATTTACCGACTCCGGAGAGATGGAAGGCATGGTGTCCCTGGGGCACCGGAATCGATCCCATGTGTATTGCAGGGCGCCTCTAACCACTGTGCTACACACGCCCAAAAGGAGTGTCAAAACTAGTTAACCCATGCGAAACTTACCTCGTCCACAACTTTTAATATAGGCTGTATGTATATGGAAATAGACATATAGTCGAGCATACAAGGATGAGATCGCAAACATGTTGACGACGAGCAGTTTCGGTATCTAAGAATCAGCAGAAACCCATGTAAACGAGAAAAACGCTACAGAAAACAGAAAACGAGACAAAACAAAAGTCTGTTAAGACCAAAACGATGAATACCGAAGACTAAAATATAGAAATAGAAAGAAAGGTGCTTACTCACCTGAAGATGTCGTACGTAGCGCTGGCTTTAGTGATAGTCCACTCAGTAATCCCAGTGCTTTTCCTATCACGAAACGACGACCGAAGGTACATCACTCCAATACTGAGTAGGATGAAAAACAGCCACAACCACTTCATACTGCTATCATAGCAGACCTATAGGGAAAATTTATCGCTCAAAAAATAGGACTTTCTGCGATGTGCCATCGATATATATTGATTTCAGACGACGCAATGAAATGATGACAATGAATTCATCAAATGTTTATCCGATAGAATATAATCTTGACGACTTTGCCGGAATAACAGTCAACGAATGCAAAATGGCAAACCAGTACAGAGAAACAACAATAAAGTCTTAAAAAATCGACCAAATTCCGAAGCAAAACGAAATCCTACAAGAAAGATACCTTCGGTTCTACAAAAAATACATTCACCTAAGACCATATCCTAGCCACGCTATTTCCCATTCAACACCTCTTGCTGAAAATCGCTAATACACTTCTCGTAGTTTTCGGCCAGATGCGCACACTTCAGGATTCGACCCGGATTCGCCATCAAACATGACATGATTTCCTGTGCAGAAACGACAATGATAAGTGCAAAAATGGCCTCATTTCAAAGCTACCCCTAAGGTAAAAACAATTTTTCACAGGGAAAATCGCCACAAGAAAGGACAAGGGAGAAGAAATTTGCTATGATTTCACGCTTAATACAGATATAACCACAGAAATGTACAAATTAATCACCTTTTCGTTATTGGCACAAACATTTTCTCGATGATACGCAAAAAATCTGCTTTGTACACGTTCAACAGTCTCATCAAAAATACGTTTCCGTTCCTCGAAATCAGCTGACGAGTTCAAAGGAGTGCTTAACTGAAAGAAAAGATTATCAGACAAACAAACTTGAAACAGCATAGACAAACGCTGTTCAAGAGGAGGGAGTATAACGGAATAGTTAATGATGAAGTTCGTAACGAAACAAGGTTCTGGTTCGATCCCCTTCCAATGACCTTCTTCAATCCATGTGCGGACGCCCTAACTCAGTTATCTCCAAAACTGCAAAGAGAATCAACTCAGTCAGCACTCCAGAACTCCCATAAAGAAGACGAAATCCTCAAGCAGCAGTTGAAACAACACCCAAAATGTTCGAAGACAACTTTAAAGGATGAGTGCGAGGAAAACGAATCGAATGCAAGAAGTGCTGGCATGCGCGCAGTTGATGACGATGGCCGGTCGTGTAAAATGTAGGAAGAAAAAGGTTGTTCACAGTTCCTTGTACATGTACAATTTTGGTTGTGTAAAATATATCTGATAGTGGATGAAGGATGGAAAACGGGTCACTGTCAGTGGAACATAAACGGTTGCGAAATATCTGCGAATACCCTTACCGTTCTTTGCTGTAGTTCAGAAAGGCGAGCCATTTCCTCTCTCATACGTAACTTTTCTTCGCGCTCACGAGCCAGTTCCTCCCTACAAAGATCCCCGCTAGAAACAAGCAAATAAGCCTGCCATAGCATACAATACTTAATAACAGAAATAAAAGATACACGAAGAAACGACAACACAATGAAGTAGATGTACCACACAAAGCAGTTGGTAACTATCACAATCTTTTCTTCACAACGAAGATAAACTGCTGAAGGTTAATGTGACTAAATCCTAATAGAAACCCCTACTTACTTCTTCGGAGTTTTGCTGCCTTAGCTACTATGGTTTCCTGGAGACCCGAGGTTAGCCTAGCGAATGTTTGCCCCAGGTCTTCGTCACCACAGGCAGTGGCCGCCCTTACTGATCAGAGGGAGATTTGCCACCATGCCATAGTTTGATAACAGAACGGTGGTGGATCCTGGTATTGGTTCCCTCTTAATGGGCTTCCTGATGGAAAGGTCAAACTCATTCTCAGCCTGCTAGCACGGACGAATTCCTCCTCTGTACATCGCAGCCCAACACCCAGGAACACCTCCGTGTCACGATGAGGCGGTAAACCGTTGAAAGGAACAGAAACTCTATGGAACGTTAACATAGATCCTAGGTAGATTTCTCTCCGTTCGCAGAGTCCCACTTCCGATTACCAATGTTCACCGGGATTTTTTCGATCTGCTACACTATTTCGGCATAAATCGCTCTTAAATATTTGCTGCCTCCTGCTGCAGTGGTTTTTAGAAGATTTACGTCCAACTAGCCTGGACAGCTTTGACAGAAGAAGAGATATCACCATAGAAAAAGCATAGCCGCAAGGACACAAACCCTTCGATTCACAAAGCTCAACGGCAACCTGCAGGGGAGAGAAGGCAAAGCTGTGCTGGACTCCAGAAGAGGATCTGCCCCAACCATTAACACAGCAGTAAAAATCATCATGTCTACGCTCACAGTAAATTTTCTAAACTTCCACTGAAACTTCTACAACCTATAAAGTCTTGTCCACAGAATGAAAGTTCTCTTGTTTTACCAGAATGAAATTATGATTCACTGCAGCTCACTAAATGTAGTTCTTCCACTCTATTTCTTCAAGGCTCATACTTCGAACACGAAAGCTAATGAATAACCGAAATTTAGACCAGTAGGACAAAATAGTGTTCCTCAGTTTATCGTTTACGCTTGCAGTTTCGCAATTCCGCTGGTCTTTTTGAGATTTTAAACACATTTAAATTTGGAGGCGTGTAGCGCAGTGGTCTGACGCACTGCCCAATAAACACGGGATCGATCCCCGCCCCCATGATCCACCAATCATTCCATCCCTTTGGGGTCGGCAAACTAGTACCAAACTTGTCTAGGAGGATAGCAGCACAGTCTCGATACATCGGTAGCCCACCATGAGTCATTGTAAAGGCCAGATATGCATTCAATCACCTCCAAACGATGCTTAATAAAGTCGAATGTGTGGCGCATCCTTCAAGAATTAACCAACGCCGAGAACTTTTTTTTAGCTTTAAATTTGGAAGGCCGCTGTACAAAATATATATATACATATATGCGATGAATTTCATTCAGCAAAATTTCTTCTACGCACCCATAAAGTTCTGAACTCCTGAAACACTACTGATTCAGGAATTATCGTTAGTCACCGAAAAACTGCTACTGCTTCGCATCGCGAAGATTAAAGCAGTAATGGGATAAAACATGGAAAGAAAGACCATGAAGACAAGTGACGACAAGAAGTACCTCAATTTAGACGTGTCGCCGCTCCTGTGGTCCTGCGATTGAGAATTGACCCTCCTCACAACATCCGACGACACCCCGACCGTCCTTAGAAATATGCATTACTTCAAGAAGTACACTGTCCTTTAAGAGCAGTAACAAACAAAGTAAAAATGCGACTCGAAAACTTTGTAGACCAACTTATACTCGTCGGGAACCTCACTTCGACTTATTCGCACCACATCAGGTTCCTCTTGACTTTGGCTAGAGCCCATTTGTAGAATTTCCACTCCACAATTAAGCCTAGGTAGCCAAATTATAACGAGAAATAACACAAGCAATGCTGAATAACGAAAGAGGACTTCATAGTGCGAAGGTTGCAAAACGAGCAAGAACAGCACACGACGTACCACAATGTCCCAGGAGAGCCAGCCGTGCGCCGACGCGATCTTGCGGACGCTTGGCGGGATTTGCCCTAACGTGCTCGCCCATCAGGACTCATTGGCACGGATGCCTGACTTTTCTATGGTTTCCGGCGAGCGCAGGACATACAATTTCGGTCTGGACGGGAACTTCCTTGAAATATGCATGGAATCTCATGAAAAGACAGAAACGAGTGGTTTACCGCTTCATAGTGGCTAGGTTTCTCAGGTGTCGGAATGTGATGTAGTGCGAGGAGTGATCTCCACAAGAGTGCCTTCCAAGCCGAGAGCAGGTTCGACATTTAAATTCGGAAATTCAGCCCAAATCTCCCTCTGATCCACAAGGTCCGCGACTGTGTGTGGTAGTGATGAATTGCAGAAGGCTTCGGCTGGGCTGACCTCAGAACTTCAAGGAACCACAAAGATTCCATTAGCAAATCTCTGGCATGATTACCGCGCTCCTCCAGCACCATTACCGCGCGCACTAGGCGCTCCCGTTTACGACATCGGGCGGCAAGGCAACAGATGACAGGCGATCAAATTTCAGTTTGCACAGGGCGTCATTGGAAACAGACAAAACGAGCCAGCCCAGGAGATGCCATAGAGAATGCACCTCATTCTCCACACAGAACACCAGAACAGTCTCTGCTGGTGTCGACCTCTACGCTTTTCTTTAGGCCGTTGGTCGCATCAAATTCCATGCGATTGCCCTGCCAGAGGCCGGAAGGGTGAAGACCGCTCCGTTAGGAAATATCAGAGGAGTTGGCCTTGTCGTACACCCATCTGTTCCCCATCAGGTTACCTCATACGAGGCTCTGTCACCTTGCTTGGCCATTCTTCGTTTCAAACCTCAGCGTTTCTCATGGGAATTCATTTTCAGCGAGGAAAGAAAATCCCTAATGGACATGGGCGTCCTCTAACAGCAAGAATCACGCGGAGACCGACCATATTCCTACAAACAGAAGACGGTGCCTCTTTGACACCTCAGTGGCCGATGGATCTGTAGTGGATCCGATCACCGCCTTCGTGCGAAGATTTGATTGCGCTATAAGCTCGAAAAACTGTCATCGTTCAAGAAAAACGAAACAAGTGTATGACGAAGATATTCTCAATGAAATCCACTCGTCATATCAGCGACAGATTAAGGAGTACCCCAGCAACTTCTACAAGCTGCTTTTTGAAGGATTTAAAACTTGTGCCGAGCCTGCCTCAGTTTCTCATAGAGGAGGTTTAGACCACAATTCTATTATCACAATAGAGTTGCTCAAAAGAAGATGCAAGCTGAAGCTTGATTCTACTGAAACACACCCAACACCGTACAAAATAAGTGCCAACTGTAGAAGGCCTTTGCAGGAGAGTATACATTAATAGAAGTAGAAAAAGTTTTTGGCAGTGACTCAAAAACGTTCTAGTCTGATGAATTAGAATTACAATTACCGCTTAGACTCGTTCGACTGTAGCTTTGAGCCGTGACAAACGAAGCAGGGGCTACCATCACATATCGCCATGATGTATAATTGATAATGGAAAATTCTATACCAATGTTACCAATGTTTTCGATTACACAATCCCTAGCTAGGATCTCGAAGTTTCCGCTGGATAAAAGCCGCCAGAGATTCCTCGTTCTGAATTTCGACTTGCGATAGAAACCATGGAGAGAGTGACATCTCCAGGATCCGTTTGTATCACCGTCGATTCCCATCGAGCTGGACGTCACAAATTATACGTGCTTTTCGCAGACCACATACTTTCAGAAAGAGAAAATTCCAAACCAGTGGAGGACGTCGAACATTGTCATCCTGCCCAGGAAGAGTGACCAAAGGGATTTTCGTAACTATAGTCTGATATGCTTGCTGAATGCACTCTAGAAACCGTTTATGAAGGTTGTGCTTTTCCCTATACTAGAGGCCTTAGATGACGCGCAACCAGTTGGGTAAGCAGGATTCCAACAGGAATTCTGCTGCGTGGACTATATCCATGGTCACAGAAGTTTGTTGGGAGCACCACCCGCCCCTAGTGATGACTTCTGTCGACAACGAAAAATCATTTGACAGCGACAAAGCGAAACCATCCAATCCTATCAGTGCTTTTTGATTAAGTATGGGAAATGTCCTAAATAGGATCTCTAGCTGACTGTTGTCGTAACTGCAGTACAAAAATACATATTGTTCGACAAAACAACACGATATCGTCAAAGTTGTTTACAGCCTCATTGTAGTGGATAATGAAGTCATACGACTGAAAAGAGAAGGGATTACGTGTTGATGGAAAATTCCTAACAAATCTTTGTTTTACCGGTGAAATCGTCGCCTTTTCGAGGAGTACCAGTGAAAGATGCTCAATGAGCTTTACGAGCCGGGAAAGAAAGATGGGGTTTCGCTTCGTTCAGTGAACATGGAAAACAACAGGAAGAACGAATTGATACAAGAACATGTAGACAGAAGAAGGAGAGCAGCATGGGCAGCATTCGAGCCTCTTAAAGAAGCCATCTACCAACTAGCGCGACCAAATTTCCGCGATCACGTTTTCAACTTAGCAGTCCTTCCAGAGATATGCTACGCGGCAGAGACGTGAACCGATAGTTCAACTGCGTCAAGAACTCTGAGCACCAGCTACAGAGCACTTGAACAATGTCTTCTGAAATTTAGCCGTCAGTCAGGTTTTGCCAGAATGCGCAGCTCAGACCTTCGAGACCTACCACACCTTCGAGATCTCGGAAATTCATATCGTTCACGAAGCACTGATGGGCCTGTCGTATTATAAGAAGAATAGTTAGAAAGAGTACGAAGAATAGGTGACGACTGTACGAAAAGAACAGTGGAGTGGACTTTACAAAAATGCAACCGTCCTCTTTCAAAGCCACCCAAACAATGGGCGGACGTGTTCGGGGCTAATGTCAACTATCTGCACTCGTAAATGGCAACAATTTCAGAATTACGGAGTGGGTTACGCGACCGTTACCATATTCGCAGCGCACCATCGCCATGAACGACTCTAGCACGGGAGAGAAACGAATAAAAAAATGTGCTGAGGCATGCATTACAGTAAAGACAGCCCATCTAATTGTCCAGGAAAGGTATTATAGCCCACTGCTAGAAGCTTATCATGAACAGGTGTGCCCTAAGAAAGAGTATGTGCCAAGAGAAGTAAAAAAGTTTTCATGAGATGAAAAATTCGGCGGTCTCCGCTTTAAGATAGGGAGGGTTAGACATATTAATAATAACATACAAGGAGCATCTTATTTTCAGCTGTGAGGAAAGAAGGAAACAATTCCTCACAAGTCGTCCACCGGAAAATGAACAATGGACAGTTGATAGCGCAGCAGAGTCGGAGCGCTATAACTGTGTTGCAGTGGATGGATAAGAAGAGCATTATTATATCCTACTCAGTTAACGACGCAACCACCTATTCTAGGTAGCCAACACTGGAAGTGATTGAAAACTACAAGCAGAAAGGGGTAATCGTGGGCACAAGTGATCAGATGGTGACCTGCTATCCATTGTTAGAAGAGCTAACAAGTGGCACGTATATTTCTGTTTCTTCATTGTTTAGACACAGCTTTTTCTGCCATGCTTTAGGTACGTACAGCTGCCTTTTCATGTGATCACTCATATATGTCTGATGAACTCAGTGAGAAAATGGGAATTTTTTCACACTTTTTGAGGTCACAGCCACGATCGAAAATAGTCTGTTGAACCTGCCAGAAAAGTAAGACTATAGGAAAGAATAGTAAGTTGTACTCAACAATCGTTGATTATAAGCAAGACGTGTATATATAGGAGAGCGGATAGTTCAGTGGTAGTGATTCCGATTACCACGAAGCCGGTGCTGGCTCGATGCCGCCTGGGCTCATCAAGCTTCTTATCACTCGGGTGTCGGAAAATTGGTACCGTGCTTGTCTGGGAACGAATCACTCATTGCAATCCAACTGCGAACGCTCTAGTCCGGCCTTCCCAGCACTCCAATAAGAACCGACTCAGCCATCATTCTACGACATTCACGATGAAATGAAAACCTTCAACCATCAACCGAGGCCACACGTCAAAGTTGGAGGACCTTAGTGGATGACGAATGCGAGGAAACAAATCCAATGTGAGAAGTGCTGGGATCAGCGCAGGTGAACTAACTGAAGACGGGTCGTATGAAATGTATATAAATATATATATGTATATACGTATATTGTGCGTGCATAAGTTGCAGATATCTACAGAACAAAGTAAATGAGCCAAAAACCTCTATGCATCGTTGAAGAGATATGTATCAGGTGTATATGTGGTCCGCCATGTTTTCACGGGACTCGTGTTGTGAAGACATGACGAATGAAAAATTTCCAACTCATTGGAGCGAAGCCCTTAATCCTTATCATTGTTTTCCAGCCACTTTCCAGTAGAAGGCACAATATTTCTATTCTTCATGTGGCGTCTACCGAAGCAGTGGCGCCGAGCAACTGTGTGCTTGTCGTTGGTAAGCAGTGATTCCTGTGGATTGTCTTCACCTCAGCAATTTCTTTTCTTAATTGAACTCCACCGCATTCTCTACAGCCACTGGCGATCGCTTTATTCATGTGTGTTCGTGAAAGAACACAAAAGACACAGCAAAAAAGTTTGCTTGATATGTATGTGAGGAGGCATGGAAGACATCGGATATTGTAAGTATTTGAATAATTAAGTATCCCTATCCCGAGGTGTTACAGTAATCCAGTATTTAAGCATTTCTTGTTACCCTTTAATGGTGATTCTTTTTTGCAACCACACCACTATTTTGCTGTTTCATTCATCCATGTTCCAGTGAGTTTTCTTGGGTAGTCTCGATAGATTGTGGAGATGACCACCATGACATCGCTTTCTCTCAACATCAGATTCATGTCGTCGAGTTGCTCTCTTTATGATGTAGAAAATCAATGGTTTCGCTTAGCCAATGTTGACATAGTCCCGAAATTCTACGGGGAATAATACCATCGCGTCCTTCGCGCAGGATCTAGATTGTCGCGGAAAGACTGGAACCTGCTAGATTCAGAAAACAAAGCGCCGGAGTCACCATGAAATGGGATTTATTCAGTTTATTAGTCGATTCTTGGGGAGATGCCGTTATTGCCGTTATTGATAATATTGACGAGAAAGACGATCTGCTCATTCACCACGTCTACGTTAATGCAACGAAAGCTGACAGTTCGATAGTCATTAAAACGAGCACAATCTCCAGAACCATTTGAGCTGGTACGCCAACCTGAAATCGCACGAGCTATAGGCAGCCGCCAACTCACAGCCGAACTTGCAAAACGGTGCAGATAGACGATCACAGAAGACCTTACAGAGAAAGAGAAGCAGTAATGGTCGAAGCCGCAGAAGCTGGGAAAAGCATTCACAAAGTCCACCGAAGCTCTGCCAATTACAGGACCAAGATGATTGCACTCCGAGGCCGAGACGGAACAGTTACAGCGTCCAGAAAGGCGCTGGAGAAAATCATTCACGAATACTACTCAGATCTTTTCGATAGCCACGTCCACCTCCCGTCATATGAAATAAAGGAGGATGGATATGTTCTACCACCGGTTCTCCCTTCCGAAGGCCGACATGCTATTTCTTCGACGAGAAGTCTAACTACACCTTGTCCCGAGAGGATAAGATCTGAACACCTGACGAACTTTTCGCCACTCCCTATAAACACACTACCTCGGCCCTTCAAATCGTATCCATCAGAATGCAAGGTTCCTTTTGAAAGAAAAACTGGCAAGACTGTGTTATTGCTCAGAAACGGTGATATCAGCACCTGTCGTCCAATCCACTTGATGTCTGTTGTCTATAAGCACTTCAATCAGGTCATCCTAAACAGCATTGTGAGCAACCTGGGTTTCGAAAAAGATCAAATAAGGTACACCACATCCACACGATAACAGGGCTCATAAAAGTATCGCAGAAGTGCAAGAAATCGCTCTGCCTCACTTCCATCAATTTAAAGAAAGCTTTTGACTCAGTTGAGATATAAGCAGTCATGGAAGCCTAGGAGAGCCAGGGAGTCCCTACTCAGTGTACAAAGATTCTTCGTGCGCTATGTAAGAATTTCAGGAGCAATGTATCACCATTTTATAACTTTATTAATATTAACGTAAAAGAAGGTATTATGGAAGGCGATAACATCTCGCCAAAATTGTCATCCTCGAGAACTTCATGCGAACACTGGAATCTGACAACATGGAGTGAAAATCGTTGGTCGGCAATAACATTATCTGTGCTTTGGAAACAGATTGGCTACATATGCCCAATTCATGCTCATTGGAACGAATATCTCTGATTGTTCCAACCACGTCTATTTAGGTTGGGAAATCGACATGATCATCGACTTGGCTCCAGAGGTGAGCAGGAGGAAGCGAGCGGATTGGGAAACCTTTAAGACCATTGAAAATGTGGTGGAGTGAAGGAAGAACACATGACCTTTCTGACTGCACAATTCTTCTTAGGTTAACGTATGCATCAGCTAGCTGGCTGCTACTTAAGTGTTATGAAAGATCACTCACCGTCTTGTGACACGTAGTCGAAAGGACGATGCTAGATGTATTACGTGTTGCGCAAGAGAGAGAACGGATCCGAAGCTCGGATCCACGTCAACGATCAAAAATGAAAGGCACCGTCCTGTATACCAAATTCTCGAAGTTAAGATGGGCCGGAGACGTAATGCATATGGAAGACAACCGATGGACATGAGCCGTTAGTGAACAGATTCTGATCTAGAATCATGTCCTTTAAAGTGGAACGATTCTACTCACGTGACTTACTATACAGTTTCTCACGAAATGAAGGCGGCTCGGTTAAGTTCTTAATTATGTGTTGCTGAATGACCAGCGTAAGATCCTGTGTTTCATTTCAAGGAAGGTACAATCGCGTTATTAAGACGCTTTCTTCGGTTCGCGATTCCTAGATAAATGTTGCTCTTTGGGTATATTGCGTATGTACTACGTGTTCGAACATTCAATATGCTCGAACTGTTCAAGTAGCGGGTAAATTCGGGATTATCTGCACCGGCTTTTCTACATCTCTTAGATTCTTTTAACTATTTGAATTCAGCAAAGCATATTGTAACCTATCGCGTCATCCTCAGTTTCGCATTGTTGTTTCGCTCAGCTGTTATACCAGCACTTAGTAACACGTCGTGCTCCTTGTGTTTAAATCGATTTTTTCTTTTCTTTGTTCACCACTACGTTTCATTTATTTTCATACTTGCTGAAGTTGAAAGAATTTCATTTTCAAGGTATGGTCATGTAATGGAGAAATTCGAAGTGAATGTTGTGAGGGGGCTATTATTTGTGTGGGCATGTTTGCGTGTTTGTGTGCATGTGTATGTCTTTGTATGTATTGTGTGTGTAGGTGTATGTTTATATGTGTGAATGTCTGTTTGTGTGTGTATGCGTGTGTGTGTCTGTGTGCGTGTACGTATGCATGCATGTGTGTGTTGTGTGCGTCTGTGTGTGCGTTTATGTATGTGTTCGTAATCATGCTCAAGCATCCGTAAAATTAGCACTTTTGCAGTAAAAATCCTCTCTATCCTTACTTGTATGTAGCTCCTCCCAAGTGTCTAAATAGTCTGGAAAATTTTTTGCAAAAATAATTCTGAAGAAGTGGGAATCTCAGGGAGAAGTCAGTCTGCTTAATGGACGGATTATGTGTCGCCATTGTGGATTCAGTGGAGTTCGGCAATGAGAGGTGGGTGACTATCATGTATACAGTTGTGAAAGAGATGCCTAAAAATTGAAATTGTACTCCTTCTTTCATAGAGCTGCGCAATGAATTCCCTCGAATTCATTGCTTCCAGATAGAGGTGGTCGCGTTAAGCTGCGCTCTCTGTACTGTACTGTAAGCTGTACTTCTTGATCGTTTGATATGAAATGGAAAACGCCAGAAAAGTGCCAAAAATCATATTTTGATGCGAGAAGTTGGCTCATGGCTGCAGTTTTCTGTGCAAATCGGCTTACGACCATATGTTTTATGCGAATCGTAGAGTAGTACTTTCGTGTATCCGTCACGTTCACGAGGACTAACGACGAGTGTAGGACATGCTTTGCGCGGTGGCGATCATTAAACAAACGATCTAGAGATTTAATGAACACATAAACAAGAACTTTTTGAAGGAATCCGATATTTCGTGAAATCATTCTTGGAAATCTCTGCTTTTCACGGATGGGTTTGATACTTCCAGACAGTAAGCCTTGTTAACAATAGTGAAAGCTGAATAACCTTAACAGATAATATGTACTTGTAACGTTGAGAGCTTGACGACGACAGCCTGGATTCAAGCCGATGGAAATTGGATAAAGGAGCAATCGATTTCAATTCGTACTTAGTTACGATGATTGGTGGGTTTAGTGACGTTTGTACACCTACACAATAATTTCAAAATAACAGCTCCGCGTTGAATCCTGATTTANCGTTGAATCCTGATTTAAATTTTGCTTGACTCGAAAGGTTTAAAAACCGTTGCTCATGGGTTGGACTGCACAACCCTAGCCGACCTCCGTCATGCTTAGGAGTTTGCAAACCTAACTTATCTGGAAGGATGAGAAGACTGACTTGTTGCATCAGTAGCCTGGTTATTGTCAGAACACTGCATAGGCGAAATATGCATTCAGCAATCTCTACGATGCTACAAATAAAGTGGAATGCACCGAGCATCCATCAGGGATTGGTAAACGCCAAATACGCAGTCTCCTCTTTTTTTACCCCATAAACAACGAGTAGTCTCATTTCTTGCTTTTTCACAGTAGAATGGTCAAAGTATGGAAGGTTGGGTAGAAATGTTTCTCTGCACTATCCAGGTGCCGCATAAAAGCGAATGTCTCTGAGAAATTCATAGTGTGTTCTAACAGCAATGCAGTTGCACACGTGAAAAAACGTCTGGTTCCGAGATGTGTTTGGTAAATTGTGTGTTCTATTGCGGTCAGAAATGAATGACGAGTATAGCTGAACTCTCTCTGTGTCATTCATTGTTACATACTTACTTGGATACTTCGACGGCTGGCCCTCACTGGTTGTGCTGGCACCAGCATAATTCCCATTTCTCCGGGATTTTGCTATTATGGTTCTCCAGAGTCCCGAGGTTAGCCTAGCCAAAGTTTCCCTAAAGTCGTTATCACCACAGGTAGTCACAGCCGTTGTGGATCAGACGGAGATTCGCCGCCACCACTATGCGACTAGTTTGCTACCAAGACGGTTGTGGATCCTGGCATTGGTTCATTCTTAGATGGGTTTCCTAATGGAAGCACCGGATTCTTTTCAACTCGGGAAGCCCTGCTGTGGGGATAAATTTCTCCATTATACACCGCTTCCTGACACACGGAAACACATCACAGCCACGATATAAGGGTAAACTGTCGAAAGTATGCCATCTATATCATATTTAATATCAATAATTATCGAGGAATTCGATGTGGCATCCGTATTGCCTTTACATATCACCGCCACGCCTCACAGCGATCAAGTGAGATCCACCCGCTCTAATGCTATGAGGAGACAACTAACTATGAGGCCGTTCATTTTTGCAGTTTTTTTGATTAATGGGTATCGTAAAGTGTCATAATTTGTTCTGAGATAATGTTACTGTTAATTCTGCTTTCGGATGTGAAACGTTAATTCCTCAACTTTGGAAAACCCTGCTAAAGGTTGAGGTTATACAACACAGCTGGATAGCCAGCAACACCTATTGGCCAATATAGCGTGATAAACCATTGGGAGGTAGAGAAGAGACGGAGACTCAAGTTTTACTAAATAGATACTAACATTTGCTTTTAAGAGGAAATGTTCGCCAGTGGTGCAGTAGAAATTAGACGGGACGCTGTTGCTAAAGTGCTGTGTGTGGGTCTCGGTGGAGGGTACCTGAACTCGCACCTCCATCATCGCTTTCCTAAGGTGAAGAAGATAGATTGTTAAATATTGACCAATTTACAAGCATCTTACTTTTAAATGGATCTTACGATTGTCGAGTTGGATCCGATGATGCTGCGAATCGCCCGTAAATGGTTTGATTTGGATGAAGACTATCGACATCGAGTGATAATCGACGACGGCCTAAATTACATGAAGAGTGCTGCTGAAAGTGGTATTAGAATGCCCTAAATCACAAAATGTCATGACGGCTATACTCAGCCATACTTTACAGGCATTCAGTACGACGTAGTGCATCTTGACGTCTGCACAACAGATCCCAACGCCAAATCTTTGTGTCCACTTGACGTCTTCTTCTCAGAAGAAGCACTGAACGTGCTCTTAAAATTGATCAGTAAACAAGGTAGCGATAAATCGAGAAGCTGAGCACACATGCTTCGTATGGTGTGCCAGTAAACGCTTATGAGTCTTTTTTTGTAATGGTTCAATTAATTCTCACATTTAAGACCAAGATTCTACAGTTGCTACCACTATTTACTATCTGCCTATAGTACTTTCCTGAATACTTAAATAAGCCGTTATCACAGCGGGCTCCTTAACAAATTCCATTTGAATAGGTTTTTTGTTGGTCATGATTTTCTTCATATCAATTCTCAATATTCACGTGCTAAGACTTTTTAAAATCCCAGTGCCGGGTAATCGCCACAGGACAACGGTAATTCTCGGCCTTGTTTCACTCTTGGCCGTGTTTCCGCATGGAGATGTTGAACTTCTTCTTAACTCGGTGGATATTTCTCGGAGTTAATCCTTCGCTGTATATCGTACTCCGACACTCAGGAGCTTCTCCAATCTTGTGAGGACGGTACATCGTTGGAGCTCGAAGAAAGGGAAGATGCGATGCAAGCGACGTGAACAAATGTTGATCCAATCTGCGTGCATGTGCGTGTTGATATTATACATGCCGTATACCCGTCTACAATTTTCCTTTACCTGACTCGACGTCACAGATATTCTATGGTCTCAGCACTTCTTGCACTCGAATTGATTCCCCGCATCCATCATCCAAGAAAGTCTTCAGATTGACTTGTGGACTCCTCTTATGCTTAAAGATTCTTGAAGATCTTCCTTGTCAATGTCCCTGAATGGCGGTACACCAAATTCTTCCCGAAATCCCGTAACATCCATGGTAGAGCGTGCCCTGGTCTTCATCGTAGCCTTTGTGGATCCAACCAAGCTCCTCAAACAACTATAGAAGAAATTTTACGGCTTCTTAAGAAGGAAAAGCGTGGTTAGCCATCGACAGGATGGAATCAAGGCCATGCGTGACTCGAGCAGCACCTGTGTGTCTATAATAAGTCAACTACATGTAAACAAAATTTATGCGTGGATGACTGAAGCAAAGGAATGTTTTTAGGTGCTGTAATTGTAAACGTGATAAGCATGAGGTACAATTCTGAAGTGATTGCTAAGCAGGTGAAATACTTCCACACAGTTTATTTTCCTAAAAATCTTGTTTTTTATGCAAGAACTCGTGTGATTACTATTTTTTTTTGTAATGAACAGTAATAAGTAATGCGGAATTATGTTCGAAAATGGATGTTCGCAAATATTCGACTTTTCCAAAATCTATGCGGGATCTTCAAAACTCTAATTTCTACAAAACGATGTCGATGTTGTTGTGCATAGACTCACTCACGTAAAAGGATGAATTTCAGATGAAATCACATTTTGAAAAATTCTTCCACCAATGCGTTTTAAGACTCCATTTCAATTCTTTGAATGTGGTAGGTATTTGATTGTAGTTCTGCCAAATCCCTGCATTCCTAATCTCAACCTTACATCAAATTCTCTGATGTTCTAATGTTTCTCAAACATTTACTTCTAGGTGGTGTCGTGTTCATTTACTACAAGACCTGAAGGCTTGGATGCGGTTTATCGAGAATTTGCTGGTAGTTCTAGGACAGATAGACAAATGCTGTTGTAGATTGTTCGCCGTTCAGAAGATCAACAACAACTTTTACTACTGATGTTACTTCTACAATTGACAGCTTATAATATCAGAAAAAAGTTGTTCTTGGAGCTTTCGCTGTCTACTGTGGACTGTGGAACTTGTCTGTATTGGCTAGTTCTTGTGGCAATGAGTTCATTTTTTATATACCACTCGTGACTTTTGCAAGTGTCGCAGCTCGTACCCTCAAACTTGAATAACTAAACCGCTTGTAACTGTAATAATACAATAATGAGGTAATAACACCAAAACAGTGCAAGCAACGAGAGCATAATAGGGATGAATAAGCGAGGTCAAAATGATAAAAGAGAGGTGATTTTTGAAAGAGAGAAGCTCTGCTATAGACCTGTGTCGTAATGTGATGCGTCTATTGATACAGAATGCAATAGCAGGGTGACGTACTAGAAGACACATCTTAGATTATGATAACAGTTCAGCGAGACGATCATGTTGGATTTGGTAGTTGGACAGTGGAATATAGAGTTGTAGTTGGTAGGCTTTATCGTCTGTCAGCGAACTGTAGGTGGAATGCTCTACTTGGTATGACTTCGCCACGCGAGGCTTTTTTCGTAGCCGCCATGAACGAACACGAGTTTGGGTTAAAACAGTATATAGCAGTAATATTTTCTTGATATTTAAATAACCCGTTCTCTAGTTATGTGGGCCCCAGTATAATCCCCGTTTTTCGGGGATTTGCTGGTTAATCCATTGTGGCTCCCTGGAATCCCGAGGACAGCCTGGCCAACTTTGATACCAAGACGGTGGTGGATCCTGGTATTGGTTTACTCTTAGCTAGGCTTCCTGATGATAACGCCGGACAGTCCGACACCCAGGAACACCTCCCAGCTACGGTGAGGCGGTAAAGCGTTGGGAGGCATAGCGGTAATAACAATACAATAATAGCAATATGACAATATCTAGTTGGGTGGACGAATACGAGCGGAGCAATTGAGCCGGAGGCTCACATATGCGCACACACACAGACACAGACAGACAGACACACACACACTCACACATACACACACACAAACTGTACTGGGATGGTGCTTCTTATATTCGTTCTGTAATGGGTGGGCCTTTTACAGAGGGAACCAGAGAGTGCTTAAAGAGAGGTTCCGAAACCTACTTAGCTAGTACAATCTGATACAGCTATTAGCATAGAAGGTTCATGAAGTCTATATCTATACATTAACTAATACAGAAAGTACATGTGAAGGGGCGCAACTGCTCGCACGAAAAGTTTATTTGAAAAGTGACACAAGAGTTTGCAAAAAGTTGATTGGGACGGCAGACGCTGCAAAGTACTTGCAGCTGACAGCCGCTCATTCAGTGTCAGGGCACTGTTGGACAAAGAAGAGCGGCTTATACAAAGAAGTTACAGAATCCCTATCGAGATAGCTGCCAGGCAAGTGCATGAGATGATCACTAAGAAACATTCTGCGGAATGTGCAAGGTTAGATGTATTATGATTACAAGTAAATAGTTGATATACGAGACTTTAGATAATAAAGAAATAGCAACTATTCAGCGAATAGTTACCATAATCCGTCTGGGCAGGGAACTCCTTAAAATATGCATGGAGCCTCAAAAAGAATAGAAATGAATGGCTTACCGCCTCATCGCAGCTAGGTTTTCTCAGCTGTCTGAGTATGATGTAGATCGAGGAGTTATCTCCACAAGAGGGCCTCCCAAGTCGAAAGGAAGTTCGACATTCCCATTCTGAAATCCAGCTAAGAGCAAGCCAGTATCAGGAATCACAAACGCTCTGGCACGAAATTAGTCACAGAGTAGCAAATCTCCCTTTGATTCACAAACGCCGAGGACTGCCTGTGGTGATAACAACTTGAGGAAGGCTTTGGCTAGGCTGATTTTGAAACTCCAGTGATGCACCTTGACTAAACCATCAAGTCTCTAGCATCTTACCCCGCACACTAGGCCTTCCCGTCTACGAAGTTGGCGATGAGACAACCGATAAGAGGCCACCGAACTCCGGGTTGAGTAGAACGCTCTTAGAAGCGGACAAAACAAGCACGTTCGTGAAATGCTATGGAGATTACTCCTTGCTGTGCACCTGCAACCCGAGAATGGTCTTTTCAGACACCAAACTTTATGCTCCTCTTGAGATTGTTTGTCGTATCAGATGCCGTGTGATTACCCTGCCAGAGGCGGGAAGCGTGAAGATCGCTCCGTTAGAAAATATCGGAGGCGTTGGCCTTGTCCTACACCAATCTATTTCTCATTAGGTTACCTCATACAAGATTATGTCACCTCGCTTGGCCATTCTTCGTCTCAAACCTCACCCTTTTCCATGAAAATTCATCTTTTGCAAAGAAAGAAAACCTCTAATGGACATGAGCGTCCTCCAACAGCTGGAATCATGAGTAGATCGACCATGTTCTCGCAGATTAAAGACGGTGCTTCTTTACACCTCAGTGATAGGTGGGTCTGTACCGTATCCGATTATCGCCTTCTCTATGCCAGCATTCGATTCAGCCATAAGCTGGGAAAGAACTGTCTTCGTTGAAGAAGGATGAAACAAGTGCGTGATAAGGATACTCTCAATGAAATCCTTTCCTCTTCTTTTTGAAGGATTTAAAACTAGTGCCGAACTTGCCTCAGTTTCTCAAACAGGAAGTTTAGATAACATTTCCATTATTACTATAGAGTTGCTCGAAAAGAGATGTAAGCTGAAGCTTGATTCTACTACAACACCACGGTTAAAAATAAACGTCATTTGTAGAAGATCTTCGCAAGAGAGTATACATTGATGCAAGTGTAAAAAGTTTTCCGTAGTGACTCAAAAAAGTTCTAGTCTGATAAATTATAGTTAGAATTACCTCGTGGACATGTGCGACTGTCGCTGTGAGCCCTGATAACCGAAGCATGGACTGCAACCACATTCCACCATGAAATAGAATTGGAAATGTAAAAGTTCTTTAGCAACGTTTACTAATCTTTTCCATTCCACAATCCCCGTATTGGATCTCGAAGTTACCGTTGTGTAACAACCACCCGGGATAAGTCGTTCAGAAATCCGGCTTGCTGTAGAAAGCATGAAGAGGGTCACAGCTCCAGTATTTCCCTGTATTAGAGCCGATTTCCTTCGAGGAGATCACAAATTATATGCACATTTCGCAGCCCATACACTTCCAGAGAGAGAACATCCCAGACGACGTCGCGATTGTCATCCTGCCCAAGAAGGGTGACCAAAGGGATTTTCGTAACTATCGTCTGATGTGCTTGTTGAATGTGTTTTCAAGCTGCTCACGCTCATATCAGAGACCTTTGATGAGGCATAACTAGTTCAGCACGCACGATTCCGATAAGGAGATTGCTGCATGGACCACATCCAAGTACTGTCAGTGGTAATAGAAGTTTGTCGGAAACACCACCTGTCCCTAGTGGGGACTTTTGTCGG